GACTGAGAAAAATAACCTAGGGGCCGAGTGGGTGGTGAGTAGAATACAAATGAAATGGCCCGATTCGTGGAATACAAGTAATAATAGCTTAAAGCAAGAACATGAAAATTGAGGGGGGCGCATTTATAATAGCATACACGTACCGACAATTGAATTGGCATTATGCCATCAGTGCCCAGTCATAAAGATAATTCTCCAAATTCTATGTATATAGCGGCTGAAGTGAGTGAAACAAGCAAGATAGTTAAAGATTAACACAAATGGCAAAACGATGGGAGAAAGGATGAAGAGAGGTTACGATATAGATAAAATGAAGAGTACACGGGCAGAGATGGGGCCTCGAATTCGATCAGTTGCGGATAATAAGATGGGACGCATGGCGGACGTGGCTCTGACCAAATTTAGTCAAATGGATGCACAGCTAAAATGTATCGGAAACGAGGGTGCGAACCTGACTCAGGATATAAGCTTTGGATATAGGAGTTGGGAATGAGGGGATGGGGCAAGTCTAAGGAGTATGGGAGCACAAATGATATGGTGAGTAGCATGATTATTAAAAGGGAATTAGTCGGCTGAATAGGTTTCAATAATGATGCTCGATGCTAAATATTGCTCCACGCAGTATTTATTAGAAAGGTCAGGAAATCTGTTTGGTAAACAGCCCAGTGCCAATAGAACAAACGTCTACAATAAAATAGAAAGCGGAAATTAAACAATCCTTTGGTGTCTTATCAAATGTGAAAAAAAGCCAGACCAACACTAAAGAGCGATTGAAGCTGAGCAGACATTAATCACCTTAGGTCGCATGGGACGATGTACAACAGTAAATTCTGAAAGTCAGATCTATCATGTTACTAACCGACACCTGTAGTTTTAATGGAGTGGTAGCGTGTCGAAAGTTCACACACACTACCGTTTCGTAATCCAATTGAGGGTACTGATGAGACCTAGGCAATTTATCCGAGATGAGAGCCTTTCGGAATACAAAGCAATGTGAGGTTCAATAGCATCATAGGGAGAGGATTCAACTTTCATTCCTGCATCAGCTTATGCGACCTAAGGTGACTAAGTTGCTTAAATATCTGTAATGAAGAAAAAATTTTGTTATAAGTCTGGTATAATTCCCGATGATGTATTAAAAGCAGCCATTTTCAGCCTCAAAGCACAAATATAATCAAGGGAAACTGACGCTTAAAATAGAAGATGCTACTTGGCTGGATCGTGAATAGATGAGGGATGACAATGATTATGCGGAGAGCTGGAAGGCGATCCGGATTCAGTCTGTGGCCAGGATGCCGGGCTTGCAAGAAGATTGGGTAAATGTGGGGATCCGGCTGATCTTGAATGTATACTAACCGAATCAGCTTGGTTAAGTGCGAGGCTGGGAATTTGCTCATTGTTGAACGTGCCAACCGGACCCAAATTAAATTCGCTGGTCAACTTGAGAAAAAGAAAGATTAAGAAAAAAAGGCATCAAAAGACAGAAGTAATATTACTAAGACCAAATTATTAAACAATTTGCCATGTTAATATGAGAGACATTAGAGGTAGAAGTATATAGGAGCAAGTGATGCTTTCTGCGACTACGATCACTTCCATATACAATTCGATCTTACAATTCCTGCAGCTAGGTTGTATGAACATAATATCTGTTTCAAGTCCCGGCGTGAATTTGTGTCGAGCAATTGAGGCGTGAGTTATTATCATTATCATTATCGCTCATAGGCGTATGCCTCATTGCTAAGAGTATACATAAATTTTCCAACCTGCAAATGCTCCTTCACTAAGCTGAATCTCTTATAGAATACGTTTAGG